GAACAGTTTTTGGCTTTTTTCTCTGAGCCCAGCTGGATGATTCAGATGTTCTTAATTGCAACAGAAGTACTATTGATTGGATGGCTTAAAATCCTTTCTGCTGTTTCTTCTTAAAACGCATACTTCCAAAAGGGGAAGTTATGCTAAGGAAAGGGAGAGAAGAAGGCAAGGATATTGAAGTATTGTAGTACTATTTCTCCTATCAATATAAATTTGGTGTTCCACCACATCATGCTCTAAGATAGTATGTGTGAAATTTTAATACGTGAGTATGTTCACTAGAAATAGAAGGCAGCGCCTGAGATGACACAATTGTATTGCCTCATGCTATTTTCAATATGCTGAAGTGTGCAATAGGCAGCTGCACTTCAGAAGTGGGGAGGCAGCAGAGAAAGCCTTGGTATTGCAAAGGTGAGAGAGGTAGTAAGGCTTTTGACCCTCAGGAGGTGGGTTTGGTTACATCATGATCTTCATGTGCCCAACTTTAATTTTATGTTAATGGCTTATACTTTTTGGAGTTATTGTTTCAGAGCCATAAGAACTTAATACAAAATAATACCATTTTGTCATCTCATGTTTAAGGCTTCTGTTGCAGTTCTGTTGACTAGAAGAGGAATTTACTTAGCTCCCCAGCATACAGCCAGTATGAAACAATCTGGTACGCTTGAATACCCTGTTTGTATCTTTGTGGAACTGGCACCAAGGTGAAGCACCTGACAAATCATCGATTCACAAACATCAGTTTTAAAAACAATTGGAGGAAGCTATCTTCTTACATAACTTCACCAATTTAATGTAACATGAAGGTGCAGCCTTATCAGGTTTTTTCAGGTTTCCCTGATGACATACAAAAGAAGCAGCAATATCTTTAGTTGGGTGGATGGATGTACTACAGTATCAGATAAGCTTTTCTTCAGGCTATTCAAAGCATAGTCTTTCTATGTAACAGCATCAGCAAGTCAAGTTGACCATTCTGTATGCTTACTAGTGAAATCACATGCTATTGTGTGCTGTATTCAATCAATTCTAGAGTTATTTGCAGGACAGTATTGCAAGTCATATCTGATACTTGATTCCGTAACCAGGCACAAGTACCTAAACTTCCACTGGATGACTTCTTGCTTTTGTTGCTTTTTCCTCTGGTTATGAACCTGATTTCTGCAAAGGTGTGCTGGAATTAATATGATTTGAGTTCTATAATTTTTTCATAGATTGTTGGGCAGTAGTTTCATTTCTATTTAATGACAAAATGTAAAATATAGAATTTCTATATAATTTGAGGCTCGGAAATGTTTTTTTTAAACACTCAGCTTTGTTTTTGTCTTGGATTCTTAAGATAACACTTCTTTAATACAAAGATACTGATGTGGAGATAAGTTTACATTTACTGTACTGCTCTTAAATCTTGAACTGTGGAATTGCTTGCATTTGCTGCTGAAAATAGAATAATTGGTTTTATACACAGAGCATTTTTTCCCTTAATCCCTACTCCTGTTTTCTCTTGGGTTTGAGGGACCAAAAGTAGTGAAACAGGATCTTTCAGCACTTCTGTAAAGGGCAGTGATCTCCTGCCCTTTTGGTTTATTTTGTCTTTTGAATTTACAGAGATCTAGAAACTGAACTGTCTAACTTGTTGAGGAATTCCTCAAGTGCATTTCAGCTGATCTGACCACGTCAGTAGATTCTGGTTCAGGTTGTACACAGGCGTTTAGGTAATTGCTGTTGAACATTTGCTCTTACCTTCAAATGATGTGAATAAGTGTAGGCACTTTAAGACTTTAATATTAATTTAAATGTTATGTTGTTAAATAACAGTCATGCAAATAAAACTCCAGGGATTGATGTTGAAACCATCAAATTAATTTACTGTTCTTGCTTCCTTCTCAGAATTATTCTGAAATGTGATTTTTAAAATATTTTTTTCTGAAGGCATGTGTGTAAAAATAGACAAGGGCTCATAAAATCTAACTTGAAATAAGTTTACAGAATTAAAAACTTTGACTTTTATTTTTACTTTTGTTTTTTGTTGGTAAGGTAAACTAGACTGGAGTATTGTGTTTTTATATAAGCATATTCAGGAAAAAACAGGGTCTTTTTGCTGAGCTGATGGACTTCAACAGGCGTGGTAGTTTGTGATGTATTCTTTACCTTCAATTCTGAGAGGTTTGCACTTAACCTGGAGCAGAGGGCTATGCTGTTAATTGAACTTCTGCCTTTAGTTCTTGATGGTCATCTTAAGTGTATTTAAATGTCTTTGCACTGTGGGGAACGGTGCGACTTGCACCAAGACAGAATATGGACAAATTATTTGGTTTGATAAGCATTTCAGATGACTAAATAAGATTAAATGCTATAGATTACAGGGATATAAAAAAAGGGAAGGGTGATGGCTTTCAGATGTGAGATGGGCCATCAGATTGATGGTTCCTTCGTCAGAAATCTTGATATCTCTGCTCCAACATTTCTTTCCCCTCCCTCTCTCCTTTGCCCTGAGATCTTAGAGCACTTTGTCTCCCCTTCTTGAAGATCTTAGTCACAGAGGTGCATCTATTGTTGCTGATGGGCTCAGCCTTGGCCAGAGGCAGGTCTGGATTTTGGAGCTTCGGGATTGATCTGCCAGCAGCTTCTCACAGGAGCTACCCCTGGGGCTACTCCCCCACTTCCAAAAACCCCACTACGCCAACCCAAACCAATGGTGTTGAAGGTTTCAAGTGGCCTTTGCTTGTCTGCTACATTTAACTTCATTCTTGTTGTTCCCCTTTGGTGCAAAATAATCCATTTGTCTCTTTGCCCCCGCTTCTGGCAGATGTGGCTGGTTGTTAAAGGGTAGCATAGTGGTGTACAGGAGATTGTGCATAAGAACAGCAGCAAAGTAAGTTAGTGTTAGCCTTTAATGGCATTGAAGAGTTGCTGCTGTTTAAATTCTGACAAACAGAAATGAAGGAGATTATATACAGAAGTGTATTTTTATTGTTTATTTAGTTAACATGAAGGTGTAGATGTTTTCTCTATGGATTAATTTTAGTGAACTGCTTCTACAGTATCAGTGCTTCAGGAAGTAACAAATACCCTGATGCAGTTTGAGATTAAGATTATCACATTTTATTTAGAGCCTCACTTTTATCAGTTATAATTGTTTTGTTGGGTTGAGGATGGGTTGTTTTTTTCTATAAGATTGATCACAAAATGTACTTCTCAAACTAGTGTGTATTTAAATCTTCTATGTTTCTGGGAACACTGTAATGTTATGTTTAACACTGTAATAGGCACAGAAAAAGTACGGCAAGCTCAGGACTGCAAGGACCTCCATGTTGTAAACCCTGATTGGCTATGGAGCTGCCTGGAGCGCTGGGACAAGGTTGAGGAACAGCCCTTTCCCTTGAAGGATGACTATATCAAAACACACAGGTAAGTGAGAACTTTGGGGAGCAGGGGCAATGAAAATGGTTTATTCATACAAAGATGCTGATTTGATAATGCAGCTATAAAATCACAGAATTATAAAATGGTTTGGATTATAAAGAACCTTAAAGATCATCTAATTCCAACCCCACTGCCATGGGCAGGGACATCTCCCACTAGACCAAGTTGCTCAAAGCCCCATCCAACCTGGCTTTGAACACTTCAGGGGGGGGGCCAGCCACAGCTTCTCTCAGCAACCTGTTCCAGTATCTCACCACCCTCACAGTGAAGAATTTCTTCCTAATGTCTAATCTAAATCTGCTCTCTTCCATTTTAAAACCATTACCCCTCATTCTCTTGCTACATGCCCTTGTAAAAAATCCCTCCTCAGCTTTCCTTTAGGTTCTCTTCAAGTACTGGAAGGCCACTGTAAGATCTCCCTGGACCCTTCTCTTCTCCAAACTGAACAACCCCAACACTCTCAGCCTGTCTTCATAGGAGAGGTGCTCCAGCTCTCTGATCATCTTTGTAGCCCACCTCTGGACTTGCTTCAGGAGGTCCATGTCCTTCTTCTGTTGGTGGCTTCAGAACTGGACACTATTCCAGGTAGAATCTCACTAGAGTAGAGTAAAGGGGGAGAATTGCCTCCCTTGACCATGCTTCTTTTGATGCAGCCCAGGACACAGTTGACTTTCTGGGGTGCAAGTGAACATTGCTGGCTCATGTTGAGCTTCTCATCAACCAGCACTCCAGAGTCCTTCTCCTTGGGGCTCTTCTCAATCCATTGTCTGCCCAGCCTGTATCTGTGCTTTTGTATTTGTTCAGCTGCAGGACTTTGCATTTGGCCTTGTTGAACTTCATGAAGTTGGCATGGGCCTACCTCTCAAGCCTGTCAAAATCCCTTTGAATGGACTCCCTTCCCTCCAGCGTGGCAACCACACCACACAGCTTGGTGTTGTCAGTAAACTTGCTGAGAGTGCCCGCAATCCCACTGTCCATGTCACCAACAAAGATGTTAAGCAGCCCCGGTCCCAGGTCTTTGGGGAACAGCACTTGTCACTGGTCTCCATTTGGACACCAAGCCATCAAGCACTATTCTTTGAGTGCAATCATCCAGCAAATTCTTGATCCACCTTGTGGTCCATCCATCAAATCCATGTACTTCCAGTTTTGAGACCAGGATGTCATGTGGGACAGTGTTGAATGCTTTGCGGAAGTCCAGGTAGATCACATCTGTTGCTCTCCCCTTGTCCACTGATGCTGTGACCCCATCATAAAAAGCCACCAAATTTGTCAGGCATGATTTGCCCTTGGTGAAGCCCTGTTGGTTGCCACTAACCACCTCCACATTTTCCACGTGCCTTAACAGAGCCTTCTCCATAATCTTGCTGGGCACACAGGTGAGACTGACTGACCTGCAGTTGTCTGGATTTTCCTTTTTTCCCTTTTTTTGAAAATGTGGGTTATTTTTCCCTTTTTCCAGTCAGTGAGAATTTCACCAGATTGTCATGACTTCTCAGATACAATGGACAGAGGCTTTGCAGCTTCATCGGCCAGTTCCCTCAGGAGCTGTGGATGGAACTCATCAGGTTCCATGGACTTGTGCACTTTCACAAGTCTTGAACCTGCTCTTCTACAGTGGGCAGATCTTCCTTTTCCCAGTCCTTTCTTGCCTTTGTCTTCTGCAACTTGGGTGGTGTGGCCAGAGAGGGTCCACAGTTTCATTTGTCTTCCTTTTATCACTTACGTACATGTAGAAGCTTTTCTTTTTACCCTGTTGTCTCTGGCCAACCTTAATTCTGTCAGGGCTTCACCTTTCCTAATCCAATTCCTGGCTGCTCAGACAATTTCTTTGTACTCCTCCCAGGCTACCTGTGCTTGCTTCCGCTCTCTGTGGACTTTATTTTTACATCTCAGAGTGTCCAGGAGCATCTTGTTCATCTATGCAGGCCTTCTGGCATTCTTGTCTGCCTTCCTCTTTGTTAGGGTGCATTGCTTGGAGGACATGACCCTTGAATATTGGCCAGCTTTCTTGGGCTTCTCTCCCCTCCAGGGCTTTATCCCATGTACACTATCAAGCAGATCCTGAAGATGCCAAAGTTTGCTCTTGTGAAGTCCAGGATTGTGATCCTGCTTGTTGCTCTATGCCTACTGCACATGATTCTGAACTCCTTCATCTCGTGGTCAGCCAGGGCTGCCCGCAACCTCCACGTCCTCAACCAGCCCATCCTTGTTTGTCAGCACAGGGTCCAGCAGTATGCCTGTCCTTGTTGGTTCCTCCACCATCTGTGTCAAGAAGTTATTGACAATTCAGTCCAAAAACCTCCTAGGCTGTGCCTGCCTGGCTGTGTGGCCTTTTAAGCAAATGTCAGGGTAATTGAAGTACCCCTGTGAGAGCCAGGGCCTGTGACTGGGAGTCTACTTTCAGCTGTTTGTAGAATGCCTCATCAGCTTCCTCATCCTGATCAGGTGGCCTGCAACAGACAGCCACGACAGTGTCTCCCGTATTAGCCTGCCCCTTAGTTCTTACCCGCAAACTGTCGACTCATTCTTCATCTGCCCCTGGGAAGAGATCAAGAAATTCTGGTTGCTCTCACACGTAAAGAGCAACTCCACCACCATGCCTTGTTGGCCTGTCTTTCCTTAAATGGACCTAGCCATCCATGACAGCAGTCATGTCAGCAGAATTTGTCAGTTTCTGACAAATTTAGAATGGTGTGCAGTGATTACAGATTTTGTGTAGAACTCTGTTTTGGTCCATTTTTTATGCTGCTTTAACTGAAGACTGTTAAGGGATAGTGGGGCAGTTCAGCAACTAGCAGAATAAGGAGAAACCTATGGTACCAGTAGTTTCTTTAGCAGATGTTGGTGTTAGCCATCTTCAGCTGGAGCAGCTGACCTTGTCAATTCAACCACAAACTACCAAAGGAAATGCCACCAAGGCATAGAATCATTCATGCTGCCAAATGACAAAAAAAATGTCCATGCTCCCAAACATGAAAAATTGGTAAAGGCATTTTTTTCTGAGACTTGGTAGTGAGAAGGAAGAGAGAAACAGAAAATACAGCAGAAAAATCATGAGTGGTTAGAAGTCATGAAAGTAAAAGCAGGAACTGGAAGAAACAAAGTATTGAGAGAATAGGAGGCGCTATGGCTAAAATAACTCATGACAAGGTACTATAGGGCCAGCTGCTGCTTCTTGACTTGTTGCCTGTTTTGGATAGATGCATAAATATCACCTTGCAAGTCTAATGGGAAGACCTTCCCTTCTGTGTTTAGACAGGAAAAAGTATAGCATGTTAGGTTTTCTATATTAAACTGAAACTAATGTGATTGTCTAAGCAGGCTGGAGATCTGCTTTCTGCTTAGAAGTCGCTAGCCCTTTGAGGGCAGAAGGTACATATGTCAGATACTCCAATGTCACTAAAAGTAGAAGTGTCTAGAAATGAGAGACTAAAACTTAAAGAAATGTAGCCTACTTTTGGCTTGACTAGAATATTTTGTTTTTTTCAAAGTGCTATCAGATGTTTTTTTTTAAATCCAACTTTGGAATATTTGTATGAGATGTTTAACTTTTCTTAGAGGTCTGACACTGCCAGTTCTCAGTAGAAATCTAGACAGTGACTTGAATGCATCATTTTTTGATGTCTAGATGAATGTTGGTCCTTATGTATTTTAATTTACTCCTTCCTTTCAGTGAAAGACCATGATCATTTTTTCCTACTTCCATGTTTCAAATACAGTATACCTTCACTTCATGCTTTCACTCAAACAGCCCCCCCCCCCCCCACTCAGTCAAAGGTCAGTAAGACCTTTTATCTTAATGCAAATATGTTCATTAACCCAAAATGTGCAACTTCTTTGGAAAATACTTTTCTCCTTTGTGAAGCTGCTTGAAACAGTGGTTGCTGGTCCAAAGCACTTATGAACTTATGAGGGATGAACTCATCCAATATGAGAAAATATTTGCATTCAAGTGAGCTTTAAAATATCAAAAAAAGAATAAGTAAACTTAGAATTGGTTGCCTTTAAGAACTGATACTACAAGACTATTTGAGAAATGTCCATGAAAGCACTTGGTAAAAACTCCAGTTTTATGACGCTTGTGATGTGTTAGAATACAATTTGTCTTTTCTATAGCATTGGTTTCACAGTGTGTAGCACATTGTTTTATTTTTTTTGTTATTATTCAGTTTGCTTCCTTTTTTTGTAGCTCTTCATAATAATTGGATAGTATGCCGTAACAGTGATTACTTCAGACTGATCTCTCTTTCTGCTGACACTTCTAAAATTATGTTTTAAAAGGCAGCAGGTTGGTCATAGGCTTAGTATTTTAACAAATTACTCTGAATGACTTGCAAATTAATCTAAAGTGTTTATTTTCTCTCAGAGCCTGTTTAGAGAGCAGATACTAAGATCTGATACATAGCATGTTTTTCTCTTTGCTGCATATATGCAGATTATTGTGCTACTCTAGTTGTACAGTTGTTACTACCTGGAAGTATTTTCAATTTCTATGTTGAGACAATTCTTAAGGCACATTTAGTAATTTTTAAATAATGTAAATACTATGTTATCTGAATGTTTCTGTTTTAAATTCATTAAGACTTTAATGCAGGTGGGGGAGAAGAAATATTTCTTCAGAAATCTTTCAAACTATTTCTGCCCCACTCCTAGCCCCTGCTTTCTCTCTTACAAAAAAGCAATGTGTGTTATTTACATTCTGGTTGGTTAGCTCATTTAAATTCCTAAAGTGATTTTTTTTTTCTGAATTTCATCCAACAGAGAGAATAGCCCTGCCACATTTCCTGATACACACAGCACACTTCAGACAGCCCTGTTTCACCCAACCCCCATCCATCCGAAGTCTCAACCTGGTCTTGAAGTTCGACTTTATGATCCAAATACTGGGAAGCTAATCAGGAAGGGCACTCAGGCCTCTGGCCAGTCGATGTACATCCAGTCTCCAGCTCCTCCCATCACCTTGCCAGTCCACGGTGAACATTCATCCTTCAGGTACTTAAAGCATAGCTGAGTCACTTAAACTGTATTTTCTGATGCTCTAGTGAATTTAACCCTTGTTATCTTTGCATTTGATGAAATTCTCATCTTTGCTTTACTTACTATGCTTTCTAGAAAGCCAGGGAAGTGAGTGAAAGTTAGTTGCCAGCTGAAGTGGAATCAGGATGGTAGAATTCCACATGCTTTTTGTGCCTCACCTAAGTGCGAATAGAAACCTCAAAGGAAATAAATGCAGTGTGTAGTTTGTGCACTTTGAAGATTAGAACTGATCCCTGAAGTGAGGCAGCCTAATGTTTTTAACAAGTCTTAGAATAGTGGATTGTTTTTTTGTCTCTAAAATGTATCTGATAGTTTTGTCATTTGTTTATAAAATTTTCCTTTTCCTGATTCCTTCAGATGGGACATTAGTTTTGTGTTTTGTTTTGAGGTGTGTCAGAAGTAGTGCAAGAGGGGTATAGCTAACTGAGTATTATGAAATAAGACCATATGACTGAGTGCTAATTAATAATCCTTCAACCAATAAAGAAAGGCTCAAGTAGCAAGAGGAGGAGGTGGCCTGCTTTTTGAAGTACAAAGGCTAGCATCTGGATTTAATGGAAGTGTGTACCTTTGAGCTACAACACCACTTGTCTCCTAAGGACACATAAAATATCTAAAATTCATCCCTATGTATCTATGTAATCATACCTACTTTCTGGAATGCTGATAAGTTTAGTAAGGCTTTTTGACTCTAATGGTAAAGTATCCAGTTGAAGGCAAAGCTTTTTCTCTTTGTAAAATGTGATCAAAATGCCTTTGTACTAAGTGATCAGTACATAGCAGTTGTTACAGCAATTCAGTTTTCCCAATTATAAAAAGTACAGTTAGAAATGCACAGTTTTCTACCTTTCTTTTCCCTCCCCTGCTACTTTTGGGGTTATTACTTGTGAAGATTTTGTACATTAGTGTAGCTTCTTATGTTTACACTCTATCTTTCTGTTGCTAAATCATTTCAACCTATGTTATTTTCAGCTGTCATCTTTTTATAGGATTCTTCTTATTTCAAGTTCCTTTTTTCTGTCAACACGTGTTTTTTGACTTTTTTTGTGAAGACATCTTGTGTTTAGTTCCTTTTTAACTGTCTTTAAAGCCTGTATTTTAATTTACTATGACATGTTAATTGAACAGGAAAAGTTTAAATAATCAGGACAGCATGTATCCAGACAGGAGATGAATAGCTTTTCATTTTTCTGTCAGTTATTGAGAAAAGGAATTTGTCTAGAAATAGAGCTGGGAATGTTGTATGTGTATATAATTGTTGTGAATAATTCTAAATTCTTTCTAAAATAATTCTTCAATATGATGGTTTATGTTTATATTAATGCATCACTCTATGCCTTAAAAAGAACAGGTTGATGTTTGTTTCACCTTTGTCAGCAACCTGATATGAAGAGTTATGTCTACACCTAAGCCTGTATTTTTTAACACAGAAGCGCTGCTTTGCTTGAACATTCAATGGAAAAGGAGAGAAATACACTTCAGGTGTCCTCTTAGTTGAGTTTGTGAGAGCCCCAGAGAGTTTCTGAGGGTGGAGTGAGGCTGTGATTCCTTTCTACTCACTTTCTTTCACAAAAGCATTTTTTTGCCTGTCAATGTTCAGGCTTGAGATGCTTTATTCTAAAAAAGTGAATCCAACTACTCAGTGCTGCAGCTGTAACTCTTAACTAAGCAGCTGTAAGAAAAGGGATTAGCATAAGATGTACTCTGGGAAATAGTCAACATTTTCATCAGAATTTCCTGTTGATTTGGTTCCAGTTGTAAAATTAGTGACCTGTAAACAGTAATCTTTATTGGACCATGTCTCTATGTCTCGGAGCAGTTCCACTATCTTCAATTAACGTGGTGAAAATTGTTGTTACAAAGTCCAGGAGGCAAGCAGTGCACTGGTCAAATACTGCTTGAAGTTCTTTTAATGGATAGGAACTACAGTGCAGGCAGAGCATGAAGGCCGTGAAGACATAACAAAAAGCTGAAAGAAGTAGCTTTGCTGTGCTTTGACTGAACAAGAGCTGAAGCAGGAGTACTGTATTGTTGCCTTGCTTTGTCTTAATGCATGCATCAATGATAGCTTTTTAAAAATGCTTCACTTCCAATTTAAATATTGATATAATCTTTGCCTTTAAAGAAAATGAGCTTAGTGCAGCAATTTCTTGGTAGAGAGCAATATATATTGTGGCTTGGTAGACTTTGTATTTTCACCTCCTGCAGAAAGATGAGTGTTTGTAATTAAGCCATTTAATTTAAGCAGAGTTAGATAAAGCTGCTAATACACACAGCTACTCCTGTTGTGGGTGGTTATAGTCAAAGCCTGCTATTATCATCTTTGGTAGTTTTCTTAAAATTTATCTGCTTCTGAATTTCAAGCAGTTGGCAATGAAATTGCATGCTGTGAGAGGAAACCCTGGGGAGATGGTAGCTGCTCCTGGTGTAACAACGGTGCTCAGTCTCTTCCTGTTGTCCTTAGAAGATAACTGTGCAAGGCTGATTATTGAAAAGGGCTTCAAGTTACCTTTAGTACCATTTGCTAAGAACTGTTTCAGTTCTCATTTTTTATGTTGTGTTCAACATTTTTGGTTTCTTTCTGGAATTCAATGTGAAACATAATTTAAAATTGGATATTATAAAATTAAATGTCTACACAGAATTTGCAGTGAAACTCTTGTTAGTGAATTGGAGATAACTCAGTTTATTCAATTAGCATTTGTGCAACAGGCATAGATCTTGTCATTGTGGTCAGCTTTGTGAGACTTGAGCACCTGCTTTTTGTTATGGCTCTTGCATCCTGAGGGTTAGGGAAAGGTGACAAGGAATTTGCAGCTGTACTGGAAGGGAATGCAGTGCTGCTCAGTAGCTATTGACAACCAGCAGGAGCTCTTCTCTGTCTCAGAACTGGAAGGATTCATTTTTAAAAACTCGTGTGTTAGACCTTTGACACTCCATAGGTATCTCAACAATTTTCATTTTCGTATGGAACTAGTATTCTACAAACATTACAGTAAACCCTTAAGTTGTAACAGTTAATGAGATGTGCAATGCAGTGTTGTTAAAAAAATGTGAATGCTAATGGCATCCTGGACTAGAATAAAGAAAAAAAAACCCGTAGCTTTACAAGATGAGATCTGGTGAACTCTCATAATACAGGAACAGATGACACAAGTCTTAAAATATGTATATAATTTACATGTGAGAACGTAAAAGTGGCAGTCTAGTTTTAAGTAAGGCTAAGATGCACTAAACGTTTGGTTCAAAAAGGTGTGTTCAAGAAGATGTTGGTGGCTGAAGGAATTAAGATTTATATACATTCATTTCACTTAAATTTTGTCTTAATTTACATACTCCTTACAATTCTATCTGTTATCAATCTTGTTATGAAAATATGAAGTACCAAATTGAAATAATTAATGGAATTTTAATATTTTTAAGATTTTCATTATGATAATGCTATTTTGGCTTTTGCCCTGATGCTCTGTCAGTGACAGTGTTGAGACGTTTGTTGCTTCTGTACATGTGGAATCCACCCTGCATACAATGAGCTCTAGCGCACATGCATGTCCTTTTGCATGTGAGACTGGCAAGCTCCAAATACCCTGCGAAGGGTTGAATATGGCATATTTTTTTGTAAAAGTACTCATGAATCTCATCTGATTAGAAATAAATGTAAATTCCTGCATTTTTCTGTCTTTAGTCAACATAACAAGCAGCTGAAAATGTAAACCCTGAAAAATGTCTTTGATAAAATAAAAATGTTTCTTACAAACCTTAAGCATGTCATTGTTTTGTATTCCTTTTTTAAATGATTTGGTGAGACATCCCAGTGTTTCTTACCTATTAGCAGTTGGAAAATACTGGGGGGGGGAAATATCTGTCAGAAGCCTTTAGGAGCTATTAATACAGTTATTTTACAGTTAGTATTTGTGTATAATGTGGTCAAGAATGGTCTCATTTTATTCTGAAGGACAAGTTCTCACTGTCATCAGTATGATAATGTGTTCTTAAAAATATATACTAGATTTATTTCTAGTCTAAGAAGATCTGCTTGGCTGTCTGCTATACGTCACTTGTGTATAATTCTTGTCATGGTCAAACTTGTCATGGTTTTAATACAGTTGTGCAAGATGCTTATGCCATCTGTTTTGTCATTTTCTGTTTTACTAAATGTCAATAGCATCACTGCCTTTTTCTTGGCTAGTGTACCTATTAAAAAGGCATGGGAATCATGTTTTTAAAGATCCTTTTGGAAAATAAAGTAGGATGCTGTATGTTTTTCCTCTTTTACTTACGACAATGGTCAGAAAGCATTTTAATAGCAAAGTAAAACTGTGTGCTCTTGTGAAATAGAAAACAGTACAGGGAGAAAAACAAAAAAACCAAAACGGTTAAGCTGTGTGTAACAACAAACTTTAACAGAAAACCCGTTGGGCTTGTTCATTTCCACAACAACCCTATGTTATTTTGGTTTCATAGCAAATTCCACTCTACAGAAATGCAGACTATACATAGCTGTTGTGTTTGCTGAGTGGTGCTGAGGTGTCGACTCTGCAGGAGACAGCATAGTCCTGGGTAGCACAGTAATGGCTTGGCTCCTTTCCCTCATCACCCCCAAATAAAAAAAGAAAAGTATACACATCTCCTGCAGCTGTCAGTGGGATCTGAGAGGAGAGATGTGCTTTTAGGGAATATAAACCCTCAAAATTAGCTTGATTTACAGCGGCCTTCTTAGGAAGCTGTCAAGTTCACAAGAGGAGAAACGATTTTGTAGGACCTTACCTGTAACTGGATTTACATTATTTAATAATGGCTTTTTTGGGTGGGGCTGCTGATCTAAAGTTGTCTTGAAAATCCAGGCTTGATGAGAAGCAGCCATCTTATGCTGAAACTCTTGTCGGCAGAGACCACACTGTACCCTTTCTTAATCATCACCACCCTCAGATACTGAAACTCTTGGCTTCAGTAAAGAGTTGATGATTACTTAAAAGAACAATGGGAAGGCAGGAGAATGAGCACCTTGTCAAAGGTAGAATAAGAACTTAGTCATCAGACTGAAAACAAAAGCAATAATTGGGAGACTGGATCTTTCTTCTGTTAATGTGTACAGCACCCTAATAAGCAAAGTCATAGATATTCAGCAGTCATGAATTCTTTATAGGGTTTTAAGCTGTACATCTTTCTTATGTGGGACCCCTGCAATTTTTCAGAGTTGTTCAACCACATCAGCAGCAGATGTTTGAAGAAGACGACCTACCAGGAAGCGAAAATGAAGAGCAGCCTGGTCCATCTAAGCGGAAACGCCAGCCAAGTATGTCTGAGACAATGCCCCTGTACACCCTATGTAAAGAGGATTTAGAGAGTATGGATAAAGAGGTGAGCTTAATGAATTCTGACAGATTTCTAACATAATGATTGGTAGTTATGCTTAACTGTTTAACTTCTGTTCAATTATGCATGTATGTGAGATGACCTCACATGCCCCTATGGTAACTTAAAGTAAAAGCCACAGCAGACTAAGTACAGTTCAGTCTAAAATGCTTTTATGTTCTGCAAAGCAAACTTGAATTGAGGAATAGGAGTACCTTTGTGTGTAACAAGGCCTTTAAAGCAGAACTTCATTAAGTGTAGTTTTGTCTCACTAAATGTTATGTATGTAATGTTATGTCATGTTTGCTGTGTGTTAGCTTTGCCACATGTCACTTTAAACTTTTTTATTTTTAATGTGCATCTTAAAAATAATCTGTAAAAAACCAGTGGCAGGATGGGAGGTCTGTGGATGCAAAAGGCATTTGCTTTTACTAAAGGAGAGCATGGCTCCTCATTATCTGCAAGCATGTAGTTGCAGTCCTGTTAAATCATAGCTATGGTGATTCTCAGGTGAAGGGAACTTTCTGTCAGAGTGAACTGTACTTTTTTCATTCAAAACCACATTATTTGAAATGCATTGTGGACCTCTAGCAGCTGCTTATTTTTAACTTCTCTTTGTTTGTGCTTTTTTCAAATGAGCCGCTAGCTTACATAACATTAAGTGATACATAGAGGAAAAAATTCCTATCGGTGCACATCATGCTTTCATTAATTCATGCACTGTGTCTGACTGTACTATAAAACCTGGTGACCCTGAGACTAAATCCGTCTTTGAGCTTTGATCGTTCACTGGTGTGGGGATGGAAGTGTATAACTTGCCAGCTTTTGGCAGCAGGTTGCTTGCAAGGTTCGTAACAGGCCTCAAGAGTTACCTTCAGGAAATATAACCAAGTGTGAGAAGGTAACTGCAGGTTTCACCAAAGTAAGAAAGAATTTCTGTATACAGCATAGTGTAATTTTGAGATGTACAGTTGCTAGAGAGGTACTGGAGGAGCTTTGAGCTGGTACTCTAGTGAAACATTCAGTTACTTTCAGCCACTGATGATCTACTCTGAATCTCAGATGAGTGCAAGCCTTTAACTCTTGGAGTTACTCACAGTAATTCTTGGAGTTAGTGACTTGATTTATTTATTAAATTTTTTTCGCTTTTTGTTCCAAACTGTTTTGCCTGTTTGATCTCACACTTTCACAAGAAATAGTTTTGGGGTTGTTTTGTCATTATGCCAGTCCCTGAATCCATCTGTCTTCTTCTGCGCTGTCAGTGGTACTTAAAGTGTGGTGTTGGTTGTGGTTGTTGGTTGTTGTGTACTAACATTATTCTAATGGTGTGGCTTTTGTAGAACATTAATGAATTGCTGTTGCAATGTGTACACTGAGCCAAAAGTAAGCACGCATGCTTTCCAGAATTACTGCATAAAGTACTTGTTATTTTTAAAGATACTGCATGGATCATGGTAAAAATGAAAATCTTCTGGCTCTGTTTGTTTTGTTATTGATTACTCACTATGCTGCTATGACTAGAACAGGGAAATTGATCTACAGATCCTAAAGATACACAGATCTTAAACTACAGTGTTTTGTTTTTAAAATATACTTAGATGTGTGTAATGTTTGGAAACTAGACTACATGAACAAATGAAGCCTAAATTCCAATGGATTTTTTTCATAGTTGACTTAGCTTTGATTCCATTAGTATTATTTGAGGTTATAGCTGCTGCCAAAATGGTTTCCTTCCACCAGTCTCTGTTTCCTCCCCTGTCTTCATTAAACTTACATTTCTCTTATCCTCAGACAGCTGAGAGAGTAGAAATTCTTCATTGATTTGTTGAGGGGGGCTATATTTTGGGTTTGATTGGTGGGGAAGTGGGTTGGGAGTTTCTGATGTTTTAGCTCCCCAACATAGTTTGACTAGGAATCAAACATTAGCACTGATGTGAAGAAGGAAGCACAGAGAACATATATTGAGGAGGTGAACTGGACACAGTAGTGCCAGCAGGTTATTATCTCTTGCAAGCTGACTATGGAGACAGCCAAAGGAGACCATCCTTTGTGGACTGGCCTTGGTGCCTGCTAGCTTCACCTAGACAAAGATAATGTACAAGAAATTCAATATAAGTACTAAAACAGGTTTTTATGGCATTCTGTTATGAAACAGGGGGAGGGTGTGTGGTAACATGGTCCATAAAATAAATTTTAGTGAAGTATACATAGGAGACTGTGGTGTCAGAGTCATTCCCAAACAAAGTGAAAGTGAGCTTGATAAGCATTGCCTGTTGGTGCTCAGTTCACTCTATTGACACTGTGTTTAGTTCTAACTTCCACAGGAAGAATTTTGCTCACATCTCATTCTTTACGAAAACACGTTAAAGGATAAGAACCTTTCTGCAATGATGTTGCTAAAAAGTGTGATATTTCTGCTTTCTGCTGCAAAAATGCTTTTGGCTATGCCAGCTGCAAGATCTACAACTGATTGCAAACCACCTTGGAGGAGCAAGGAAGTCTGGTTTGGTTATAACTGTTCATGTCTTGTTCCACAAGTGCTAGTGCTGAGACTGTGTTAGGAGTACGTGGTCCAAGAACAGTGAAAGCAAGTTGCAGTGTGATGTTGCTGCAGTTTAAGCCCACTTAAGTCTCAACTGCTATGTTCCCGCCTCCGAGTCACTGTTGATTATCATGGGACCATACAGCAAGCCAGATCAGGGAGCTGGTTTGGTCAGAAAATGTCACTTTCCAGGTTAATCTGCACCTTTAACAGTTTCCTGAAATAACTCAGAGTTGCCATTACACAACTGCTAGTGCCAGGAGCATGCAGAAGGTAGAAAGAGCTGGGAATGAGCGGTGAAGGCAGAACTGCAGCCCTTTGGCTTTAAAATGGCATCCTGAATATTTCTGCTGAAGTCCCTGGCTACTTTAGGTAAAGTTTATTAGATTAAAAGGAGTCTTTTAGCTTTGGGCACTGGGATTTTCTTCAGTGAAATGAATTAGGAAGAACAAGTCTTTATATGTACTGTTTCTGTGGACATAACAAGCACTAGGTAACTCTTTTGCACTTAACACTGAACAGAAATCTTGTGGTCTTTTCAGAAAGTTTTGCAAGGAAAAAACACAATCCCAAGCAAGAAAAAATTTATATGTAGTTTATACATAGGAGAGCTTTTTAGTTAGAAGAATCAAGATAGAAGCCAATAAAGATAATTTTATTGTTTATTCCCAAATTAAATCCCTTTCCATCCTTAACATATTTAAAAATCTACTTTTCCTAGGAAAAACATGGTACAATTTCTAGTATTCTACAGACAAGAACTTCCATGGATTGGCATATCTACTAAAATTTGATCTTAGATTTTTATCTTATTATTGTAGCTGTAGTTGGGCTATTGATATCAAATAAGTCAAAGGAAGTTAATAGCTTACCAGCTATTGGGTTGCATTTTAAGGTCACTTAGCCTTGTGTATCTTTGTCAGTGCCAAAGATCTGGGAGATCAGATCCAATGGTACCTGCTTTTTGCTATGGCATGATGGACTGTTTGAACTTCAGGGAAATGTAAGAACAAGGGTATTAAATGTGTTCAAAGGGCAATTGCCAAATCAGATTAAGTGCATAAGGAATGGTTCCCTACTTGGGAAATACAAAGCTTGCTAATGCTGCTGCTTCACAGTTGAGAGAGCAGGTACCCCCTTTGTTTCCTGCGCTAGCTGGACACAGGTGCTTTGCAACTGGATGCTGCTGTTTGTCTCTGCTATGGAATCGTAAAAAGAAGCAGAATTAAATGCTGCCAGTTAAATTAGCTTGTTTATAGTCATTTTTAAAGGCCTCAGTACACTTGTATTTCTAAGTAACTGGCTATGTGGTAACTGCAAAAGATTACCCCATAAAAATGCTGTTTACATGGGGTTGTATATAGTATGCTGTTGTCTTCTTTCTGCATTGCTGGTTTCAGCAAAGGGCAAGGATTGAAAACTGTCTTTAAGGATGAGGTTTCCAGACAACTAAATGCAGTCTGTAATAACGTAACTAGAAATATCTGTCCATAATACCTGTTTCAGGATTTTTCTTGTTTTCTCAAAACCAGTATTCTCACAGGGAAGGAATCTACTTTTCACTCACTGAGTTGAAAAGTAACTAATGGAAAAGCCTTTTAAAAAAGAGAGAGCTGAGTTGTCTGCAGGTCTTCCCATCTCCTGTTGCAGCAAGGGTCCATTTATCCACCTGCTTACCATGGAGGTACTGGACCATTCATTGCTCACTTTTGGTGTGATTGTGTGGCATCAGTGCCCTTTCCCTGGGCTTGATGTAAGTTGCTGACCTACCAGATACTACAAAGTTGTGCAGATCTGCAGTACTTTAGTGACAAAAAACAGAAAGTGGAGTCCAATCCAAATTACTGCATTTGTTTTTTAAAAAATGATTAGCTAAAGCAAGTCGCGCAAAGGATATTTATGGCATACAAATCACATGAAGACATACATATGTCTTTCCATTCATAACTGATTATGTCAATACAGGGTAAAGTGCAGTTCTCCTTCCCAGAGGTTATTCATGGGTAATCTTGTGAGGTTACTTCCTGAGAATTCACTGAGAAGCACTCCTGTAAACCTCTAGAATATTTCTGCACTGATACAATTACTGGAATGTCTAGAGGCCAGCAAAAGTGACCTATGATGAATATTTAATAAATTCTGTTAGTCTTACTGCTTTAGAAATTGGGGGAGGTTGTTTTTTGTTGTGTGGTGTTGTTGGTTTTTGGGGGGGTGAGTTGTGGGGTTTTTGTTTTGTTTTGTTTTTTAATTTAAGCTGCTAATTCCTCTTCTGAATTTGTATTCCTAATTGTATTTGGAGAGAACCTTATGTAACTGGGCTAGTATCATGTACAGTTACCTAGTCAAGCTGATCTAATCTTAACACTGTTGTGCCCTATGTGCTATACATGAGCTATATTTGTTTTTACATACTGATTATTTCCTGATGGACCTTGACTTTGCTTTTCTGAAAAATTCATTACTT